TGTGTGTGTGTGTGTGTGTGTGTGTGTTATGTTTCTGTAAAAATAGCATTAGTTCTCTGAGTTATGTTTTAGGGCCATGTAACTTTCTTTCTTTCTTTGGCATTTTAAATCATTCAGCCATAAATTCTGGGTTTTTCAGAAAGATACAACATGTTTATAGCATATGAACCACAGACCACTTCATGGACTATTTTGTGAAGTATCATATAGTTTCATTTTATTGCACTGCGCCTTGGACTTGATTCTGATATGTCAATAGTGGCATTCAGCATTTATATTTCATAATATTGACATAAAGCTGCACGATCGACAGTTGTCCCGGTCAATCGATTTTCTACACAGCTGTGCAATTTCGATTTTTATCATCAATATCCCATATTCATTTATTTGTTCATTTGACAGGAAGTTGTGTAATAATTCTATAAGATATTATACAATCAGATGATCATTATCACAAAACAAATCTATATTTTATTTAGCAAAACTGGTTTATTTTTCAGTAATAAACCTCTCACTCGTCATTATTCATTATGTATCACACCTTTGAACGTTTTCTTAGATGACATGCACTTCTTTGCTGTAGTCACACTTGCTACGTTTGGAATAAAACACTACCATGCTACTCTTCTGCAGTATTCAGCACAGTATTTTCTGTATGCATGGAATTTCAGAAGAACCTGCAACGTTAGTCAAAATTTAGAGGAATACTGTATCCCACAATGCAATGCTCTCAAATTGACTTTCCATTTCGAGTGTGACAGATGAACTGGAAGTGACTTCAGTCTTGACCTTTACAGCTGATCTGTTTGTTGATTTCTTATTTAATTAGTCTGACAAAACTTCATATATTTTATCATTTTATTTTATTACAAGATTGAATATTTTTTTGTTCCAAGGTGCGTTCAAGTCCTCTTGGGAAGTTCATATTTACGTGTTGAAAAGTCTTAATTATGACGTCATGTGCGTTCAAGTCACTTTGATCGGAGCAAGATCAATGCACCTTTTCTACAAAAAAAAAGCTATATTTTTACTTCTACAAAATGATGAATAAAGAATGGGCATCTGTTTTTTTTTTTTGTGCATTTTTATTCAATTGCTGTCTATACAGAAAGCTCTTGGATTTCATCAGAAATATCTTAACTTGTGTTCCGAAAATTAACAAAGGTCTTATAGGTTTGGAACGACATGAGTGTGAGTAATTAATGACAGAATTTTCATTTTTGAGTGAACTAACCCTTTAAGTATTTTTTTGTCTTCTTTCCAACTCTGTTCTTTTATTATACATTCCCTTTCATTTTTTCCTTAGACGTTTTTTTTCCACTTTCTTTATTCCTTTCTGTCTTATATTGTTTCTGTGTCCTGATTTTTTTTACACTAAATAACCAGAATATAACAGACAAAATTACTTACAATCGTTTCCTGGATTCGAAAACGGTAAAACTCAACTGTTTAACTCTAGGGGAGTTGGAAAATGAGCCTATTTTCAAAAATAGTGGAGTGTTCCTTTAAATGGTTATGTATTCTATCGTTATTGCATACTATCGTATTTTGCACATGCAGCTTTGCTACTTTTATTGTTAATGAAAAAAAAAAAAATCTTCAGATTTATCATCAATACAGACGCTGGATTTATTGTGTCAGACATGCCCCCAACTTGGAAACCCAGGGCTTAAAGAAAGTTTTCTCATAATTAAAAATAATGTGGTGTCATTTATGTGCATTGATCTCATAAATACGATCTTTCCGACGCACCATAACTCCACACCTCTTGCTGAATTAAACAAGCAACATCATGTGACTACAATGTTGCACACTGCTTTTGGAGACATTTATAATGGTATTGTGTTTTACAGTACATGCTAAGTAGGAACTATACAGTACATACTGCACACTATATAGAGTTAGTAAACTAGTATTCCATTCTGAACATGGCCATTGTCTTATCTACTTGTTTCATCGTGTTACCGATTGTTCACAAGTGTTTCATTGTGCAAGTTCAGCAAAGAATCTCAAAAACAACTTTTTGACTGTGATTCACATTTTTACGTCTCATTCTACTACTATTGTCTAAACCGTTCTGGCCAGGCCGGCTGTACCTATTAAGTCGGACAGCTCTCTATCTCCCGTCCTCATGGAGTGCCTGATGCTTGTGTAGATTTGCATTTGAAACGCTTCTCTTTCACACAAAGACCTTGCAGCTGCCTCGCTGCAATCTGCAAGTGAATGTAGTGTAGCCATCCCCCAACAAGTGCATGGAGAAAAGGTGTGTGTACTGGGCTGAAAATGTTTCAGAGTTGATGGTTATCATTCAGACTGCTTCAGTGTTTGAGGCCTATACTGTAACCAGCCGTGCTGCGACACATCTGGTAATGAGTGTCACTTGCTGAGTTGTTCTTTCGGTACAATGATGTAAAACAATGAGCAGAGGGTAAACTGACAGTGCCATTTTGCTGGCTCTTTTGCATAGGCTTTGACATTTGTGTTTGCAGAGCTGGAGCAGAGAGCAAACACTCGCAGGAATTGCTCTGTGGGCTGCATGCAAGCGAGTTGTTTTGAATTTCAGCTGTTGGTGCATGTGTGGGTTTCACTGTGAGCAGTTTCACTTTGTTCCATTTCCTCCTGTGTGTCTTCAGAGCATAACCTTGATGTGAGAACTCATTTGTATTCGATCAATAAAATCTATAAAAGAACAGTCTATGAAAGTTTATATATATATATATATATATATATATATATAATGTGTACATATATTACATTATATATATATTATATAAAATGTAATATATATGCATGACAATTTTTATTGTATTTATAATATGTGTGTGTGGAAATCATCATGCAAATATTAAATCATATATATTATTTATAATGTAAATTTTTAACATTTTTAAACAAACAAGTTTGAGTGTATTCTGCATTACAATTGTAAAGTTTGTTTTTTGAAAACATTGTAAACATGTATAATATTTAATAATACTATTATTGTCATTGTTGTTATGTTATTTATTATTCTATTGCTAAAATATAGTAATAACTCTCTCTCTCTATATATATACAGTATATAGGTGCATCTCAATAAATTAGAATGTCGTTGAAAAGTTCATTTATTTCAGTAATTCAACTTATTCTGCTTTGCAATTGTGAATAGTTTATGTGTGTGCGTGTGTGCGTGCGTGTGCGTGTGTGTGTGTGCTTTTATTATCAATATAAGCAGTTGGATGGATTTTTGGGTGATGGACCATAAAATGAGCCAAAAATAAATAAATAAATTCACATAGATTTACACTGACAGCGGGACCTGAGCCATATCTAGAGATCAGAATATCATAAGAGACTTGACTTAGGTCTGTAAATAAGTATGTTTTACATGGCCAAACACTAGTCAAATTTTCTTCAGAAAATGTAAATATGAAGTTTCTGTTACTTCCGTTTCCATCATAAATACAATGTTCTTGTTCTGTTTCAGTACAGTTATGACAGTGTAGGTAAAAGCTCATCAGTTTCCAGTGACACCCACCAACTTCCTCTCCGTCACTGCACTGCAGTAATGTCTCATGTCATTGTCCACTGCATACATAATCAAGAACACCTATTCTTTTCTCACAAGCTCGATCAGCCAGTCGACAGCCGCCCTCATTGGACAAGCTGCCTGAGCAGTACCTAATTGGACAGTGGCCGCGAGAGCCGTACCAACCCCAGGCATCCTGTATGAGTGATAAAGCCACACAGGTGAGTCAGTGTCACATGCAGTTTGTTTCACAGTTCACAAATAGTACCCCCTAAAATAATTAGACACTTATGATGTCTGAATGCCATTGCATTAGACGACAAAATATCAAAGCTGCATCTGCAAACCATTGATGTGAGGCCTTTTCTCAGAACTAACTACCCATTGTTTTTGCTCAATGACTTACAGTACTAAGAATTTAAATTGACAGAATTTACAGTACTTAGAATTTAAAATCCCCATTTTATGAAATGTTTTGCTTGAAAAGTGTTTTAATGCAGTGATATAGATATTGGGACGTTTCCAACTCAAAATCAGCTTGAAATGGTATTTGCAACCAATTAAATTTCCATAATCAAGTTCAAATCAAATTAAACAAGACAACAAGTTGATTTTGTCCATCAGGAATTGATTTATTTCTAAAGTGGGCGTTGCATAACAGAATAGAGCCAAGAGAGCTGAAAAATAAGAGACCAGTGACATAAATGGAAAAGGAAAGTTGTTGCAGAGATGGTGCAAATGATTCCGTTTTTATGAAAGATTACAAAGACAAATATGTATTAATTGGAATTTGTGCAACGATGAATCAACCAGAGACATTACACTTCAAATGGCTGAATGTCATTGCATTAGATAACAAAATTCCATTAAAATACATTGATACTTTTCCCTGTAAAACTAACTTTTGTCATCATTTTTGCTCAGTGACTTACTTATACAAATGTAATACTAGTATTTCACAAAGACGAAGTAACCAACACTAATTTTGAGTTTTATTTCTATTGGTTTATCACTAAAAACATTTTTGAGATTGAAAGGTTTGCTTATGTATGCTGTTTCATTTGTATTTTAATCACATTTAGTTATTTAGACAATTCACACAAATGTGAACCAATTTCATTTCCATAATCTGATGTTTCCAAGTTAAATAGGGTATTAAAATGTAAGTTTTATCAATCGGAGATTGATTTATTGATTCACAGTGGATATTAACAGAGTGGAAAATGATTTATATGTGTATATACATATTATTAAAATTTTGTATTTAGTTTTTTTCAGATATTAGCATTTTAGAACTTAAATAGAATTTTAAATATTAATTGGGAAGATTTAAATAGAGAAAAAATATGGAGGCATTTTCAATACATTTTATATTTGACAGTAAACAAAGGAAAAGTTTTAAAAAATTATGTAATTCGCTGTAGAGGTAATGCTAATTATTAAATTGGTGATTTAAGAATTTTTCATTGTATCTAAAATAACATACACCAATAAATAATTTACAATAAGACCAAAAACATATTTTTGTAGTATCTAAATAAACATGCACCAATAAATGCAGGGTGTCCGCGGGGTCTTAAAAAGTATTAAAAGTTGATAAATCAATTTAGAGAAAATTAAGGCCCTTAAAAGTATTAAAGTCTTAAATGCCATTTTCCAAGGTATTAAATTTTGTATCATCTTTTCATTATGTATATTTGTCCGAATAGTGGGGTTCTGTGTATTTTATTTATGGAATCCCGCAAGATTTGACGTCATCTGTTACCGCGCTCACTGACTGACTGCGCCGCTGCGTGATAGCGCGGGGCTTGTTGATCCCGCTCACGTTGAATTTCTGACCATTACCGCATGCTCCCATCCGCTCCCGCGATTTTTGTGTCCGCTCCCGCAAACATTCTAATATTGTATATAATTTTCACGCAGGCCGCCGCTTATCAATATGAGGGGTATTTAAATCCCCTTTGAATGAGCGCTCGCAGTCGCAGTTCACTTTCGATTTTGCGATCGCGCGCGCACTGTGTAAGGGGAGCACATCCTACGATAAAAGATATTTGTTAATGAGCTCGGGATCTGTTGAGGAGCAATTCCTACAACATCTTGTCAGTTATCTCTCCTTACGTTTTACCCGTGATTAGTCAAATCTGACTTCTGCAGCTCGTGTTGGATGCAGGGTTGTTGTTGTTTTTTTCCACGAAATTGGGCTGCTTTTAAACTGTTACCATGGATTGATTTTTTCCCAGTGGGTTAAAGGTTTGAAATATTGCATAAATTACATTTGGTTGAAATGCTTGTACTGAAACATTTTGCATTCTACCTGTAATAAAACTGTGCTAAATGTTTTGGGCCACACTAGTAGGAAGCATTTGAGCGGTGTTTATAATAAATGTACATAACAGTGACTGTAAAATATGTATTTTAGGGATGCAAATTACATTTTTATATTTGGGACATGGTAATTGCGCTACTTTGGGCTGTTTTTTTTACTGGCATGGGCTTGGGATGCACAATTAAAATGATGTAATAGTTGTGATTATTATTTTACCTTCCATGATCATTCAGACACGGTCAGGTGCAGTACTCTCTGTCAAGTCTGCATCAAATCAAGCACTCTGTAATCACAGGTAAACTGTCTGATCAGTCAGATGTTTGTCATGAGAAGTGTTCCACAAAACAGCTATGGTTTCAGTTGATGTGACAAATACATCTTTTGAATATACTGTGTAAACTCATTGCCTCGTTAGCTCGGACAGCTTTATTTTCCCTCCTCAATAAGTTTTGTCAGCTGTTTTCCAATACAAATATCTAAACATCCTTAAATCAAGATACATTTACTTGAGATGCAAATTGAAGATATAGTATGAAGTCTTGTGTTCTGAAAAAATGAACTAAAATTAGGTGAGTTTATGCTGAAACATGAACAAATATCTGTAAGAAAACTTGTTTTCCTTTTAAATTAAGTAGATTTTTCTGAGCCTGTTGGCAGATATTTGTTCATGTTGTTAATTTTGATCATAAGGCTTATTATGTCATTTTTTCCCTTCTCAAGTAAATGTATCGTGATTTGAGAATCTTTAGGCATTTGCACTGAAAAACAAGAAAACAAGACAAATTTTATTTATTCATTTATTTAGAGTGTGCAGTCATAAGGTACAGTAAAAGTTATTTCCATATGCATATATGTATATATATATATTAAACATTCATATGCATACATATATATTATATACATGACATTTCAATAGAAGTTACATTAAAATATATTTTTGTTTACTCTTTTTTTTTTTAAGTATGCAAAGGTGTACTGTGCTTCTTTTTCCATAACGTTCATGTCGTTACAAACCAGTATGACTTGCTTTCTTCTGCGTTTTTGTTCATCAATAAAGTGAAAGCTTTTTATTAATGGCTCTTATTACATGGACTAAAGCAGTTGAAACATTTATAAATATTCCTCCACCCTTCACCCTAACTTCCTTAGACGTTTATCAGCTGGCATACCACAAAACAGAAGACATTCAAGAAGCCTGGAAGTTCAAGTTGCAACATGACACGTGCAGGTTCAATCGAAAACCAGTATCTGGAAAATTATGCACTTTTTTGTGGTTCATATTGTCCGCAAAACATCCAGTATGAAAAACCATAAATGATCCTAAAAACAAGCTTCATTTTCTTTAAGCAAAATGTGATTTGATATGATTATCTTTTGATCTTTTGGGGTGAAATTTGATACTCATTGTTTTTGTGAGATTAACCCATAGATTTGATAAATTCAGACTTGGACATTAATCAGGTTACTGGTGCTTTTTGTTTTCCAGTCAAAGCGGCTCTCTGCTTCTTCATCTAACATGGTGCTTTCCAGACCCGTCATTTGTCGAATGCCCAGCTATAGTGACTGTGTTAACCAGGAGCTGGAGAACGTCTTCATCTGTGAAGACTGGGGGAGAGAGGAGGAGAAGGTACAAACACACACAGGTTTCAATCGAACATTTCAATAGTGTGACACTTTAAAATGGTTTTTTGCATGTTTGTCCTCCTGGTTCAGGCTTTGGAGGTGCGGGACGGCGGCCGCGCTCCTGTTCCTCCTCTTCATCACACACACATCTCCTGCAGTCCCTGTTACTGCTGCTCTCCTGCTGCGGACGCTGAGAAAGGTAGTGCTCGTTCAGTCGTGATGACTGGAACACAGTATGTTTGCAAGGGAAGATTAGTTTAAATAAAGAGCTTGATTTGTCGTCTCAGATTACAGGTGTGGTTCACCTCTGCCTCAGTTTTCCAGCTCTCCCAAACCCAACAACAGTTACACATTTAAACGTGAGCCTCCCGAGGGCTGCGAGAAAGTCAAAGTGTTTGAAGATCTCATGTAAGTACCATTGACTGCGTTACTGTAGATTTTGTGAAAACAGTTAGCTTACTATTTTTTTTTAACCACATTTTTAAAATACTCATCCTGTATTTTTGTTGTGCGCATCCAGAGATCATGCTTTGGTTTTTGTGTCTGCTGGTAAAACAGCTCAGGGAGCCTCCATTATTGATAGCTTCAGTTTAGCACTCAGAAGCACTTGAAGCATCATGCTTAGACATGTTTTTCTAGTTCCATAGTAATACCATGTTTGTGGACGATAACATCAAGTCATTTGTTATTTTAAAAAAAGTATTTTGTTGAGATTGCACACATAAAGAACAGTTTACTAAAGAACAGCCAAAATACTAATATACAATATTTGCAAATTGTCTAATATATTTATGTATGTATGTGTATATGCAGTATTACATGTAGTTTAATTTTATTAGTACTTATGTTATTTAAAAAAATCATTCAATATTTACGTGATTTATATAGTCTACATATATAAATATCCCAAATATAAAATTACTACATTATATATATATATATATATATATATATATATATATATATATATATATATATATATATATATATACATAATTATTATTCATTTATTCATTATAATATATTTTATTAATATAATAGTAAATAAAATAACAATAATAAAAACAATGACAATAATAGTATTACTAATTATTTTAATGTTTAAAATTATGCATATAATTATTATTAAAAACTAACTTTACAGTTGTAATGCAGAATACACTCTTGTTTTGTTTAAACTTTTGTTTTGTTTAAAACATTTCATGCATTTATTATATGATATATAATATATAATTTAATATGCATGGAAACACACACACACGCTGTCAAATTTGTCATGCATATATTACATATTATATAATACATATAATGTAATATATATAT